CCAATCTAAACCACCCCTGATGCAACTTGAGGCAGTTTCCTCTCATCCTATCACTTGTTACCTGCAAAAAGAGACTGACACCCACCTCACTACAACCTCCTTTCAGGTAGCTGTAGAGAGCGATGACGTCTCCCCTCAGCCTCCTTTGCTCCAGGCTAAACAACCCCAGTTCCCTCAGCTGCTCCCCATCAGCCTTGTGCTCTAGACTCTTCACCAGCTTCATTGCCCTTCTCTGAACACGCTCCAGCACCTCAATGTCTTTCCTGTACTGAGGCGCCCAAAACTAGACACAGTATTCAAGGTGCGGCCTCACCAGTGCCGAGTACAGGGGGACAATTGCCTCCCTGCTCCTGTTGGCCACACTATTCCTGATACAAGCCAGGATGCTGTTGGCCTTCTTGGCCACCTGGGCACACTGCTGGCTCATGTTCAGCCGGCTGTCGACCAACACCCCCAGGTCCTTTTTGGCCAGGCAGCTTTCCAGCCACTCTTCCCCAAGCCTGTAGCGTTGCATGGGGTTGTTGTGACCGAAGTGCAGGACCCGACACTTGGCCTTGTTGAATCTCGTACAGGTGGCCTCAGCCCATTGATTCAGCCTGTCCAGATGCCCCTAGTAAAGCCTTTCTACCCTCAAGCAGATCAGCACTCCCACCTAACTTGGTGTTGTCTGCAAAGTTACGGGGGTGCACTTGATCCCCTTGTCCAGATCATTGATAAAGATATTAAACAGAACCGGCTCCCATGCTGATCCCTGGGGAACACCACTTGTGACTGGTTGCCAACTGGATTTAATTCCATTCACCGCAACTCTTTGGGCCCAGCCATCCAGCCAGTTTTTTACTCAACGAAGAGTGTACCCATCCAAGCCATGAGCAGCCAGTTTCTTCTGGATAATGCTGTGGGAAATGGTGTCATAGGCTTTACTAAAGTGCAGGTAGACAACATCCACAGTTTTTCTCTTATTCACTAAGCAGGCCACCTTTTCATAGAAGGAGATCAGGTTAGTCAAGAAGGTTAGTCACATACAGCGATATGGCCAAGCATTTCTTCATGAAAAGCTAAGTCTATCTTACATGATATTCTCTGGAACATAGGAAGTCATGGACATCTCATCATTCTTAAATGAAGGACCCCAGGCCACCTGGAGGGCCTTGATATGAGGACCACCATACGAGGAGTCTTCAGATAGGTAAACAGCACATAGAGGGAGTATTGGAGTTCATTGGAGAGCTCCTAGGTTGATGGAGAGATGAAAGCCCAGATGTGCGTTCATCACTGTGCTGGTTTTGGCTGGGATAGTGTTAATTTTCTTCATAGTAGCTAGTATGGGGCTATGTTTTGGATTTGTGCTGAAAACACTGTTGATAACACAGGGATGTTTTAGTCACTGCTGAGCAGTGCTTACACAGAGTCAAGGGCTTTTCTGCTCCTCACCCCACCCCACCAGTGAGCAGGCTGGGGGTCCACAAGATGCTGGGGGGCGACACAGCCGGGACAGCTGACCCCCACTGACCCAAGGGATATCCCATACCATATGGTGTCATGCTCAGCATATAAAGTTCCAGGAAGAAGAAGGAAGGGGGGGACATTTGGAGTGATGGCATTTATCTTCCCAAGTCACCGTTACACGTGCTGGAGCCCTACTTTCCTGGAGATGACTGAGCACCTGCCTGCCCATGGGAAGGAGTGAATGAATTCCTTGTTTTGCTTTGCTTGCACGGGCAGATTTTGCCTTACTTACCTATTAAACTGTCTTTATCTCAACCCATGAGTTTTCTCACTTTCACCCTTCTGATTCTCTCCCCCATCCCTCCAGGGGGTAGTGAGTGAGCGGCTGTGTGGTGCTTAGTTGCCGGCTGGGATTAAACCATGACAACCACATAGGAGATATATCAATACCTCATACAAGTCATGACTTAACTAAGAAGGTTAGGGAACCAAGCCAGGCAGACTCAAAATCAGAAGAATTAGTGAGTGTCTGCAAGCACTCATCTACACTCATCATCTGGTCATGTCAGAAAAAACTAGAGCCTAGGAATTCCTTAAGACATGCAGACCCTTGGAGTTATGCACTATTCCTGCCACTGAGGGACAAACAGGCAGGGCATGTGTTGTGGGTTAACCCCACTGGGCAGATAAGCATCACACAGTCACTCACTCATTTCTCCTGCTACCCCCAGTGGGACAGGGGAAAAGGAAAGGAAGAATTAAAACAAGAAAACTTGGGGGTCAAGATAAACCAGACAAACAAACAAACATGGAAATTGTTTAATAAGTGAAGCATAAGTGGAAGGAGAGGGAAGAAAACAAAACAAAACAAGTGATGGAAAATCAATCCCTCACCACTTCCCAGGGATAGACCAGTGCCCAGCCAGTTCCCAAGCAAAAGATGGCTAATCCCTCTAAAGCCTCTTCTTTCCCTTTTATTGCTGAGCATGATGTTATATGGTATGGAATATCTCTTCAGTTAGTTCAGATGTCTGCCTGGTTGTGTTCCTTCCCAATGTACTGCGCACCCCCCAATCTATTCACTAGGGGGACAGAGTGAGAAACAGAGAAAGCCTTGATGCTGTGCAAACACTTCAGCAAAAGCTAGGACATTAATGTGTTATCAGTACCATTTTGGTCAAAAATCTAAACCACAGCAGTGTATGAACTGCTATGAAGAAAATTAACTGTCGCAGCCAGGCCCAGTACATCATGTCAGATGACAACACTGTGACAACCCCTTGGTATGCCCTAAAAATGTGAAAAGACTCTCAAAACCTACAGGTTTGATCCTAAAGGGTGTACAGGATGACATGCCTGGGGATTTTGCCTGGATCGGTTTTCTGTGCCCCAGCAAACATCTGTGTACTGATTCCAATGGAACTTCTCTATAATTCAATGAAGTCTTTCATGACATCACCGGGTAACTCAGGTGGGAAGAGACCTCAGGAGGTTTCTAGTCAAACCTCCTGCTCAAAGCAACATCAGCTCTGAGGTCAGACCAGGTTGCTCAGGGTTTTATCCAGCTGGGTGTTAGAAAATCTCCAAGGATGGAAATCACGCAACCACTTGGACCCTTGGGTTCTTTTCACCAGAGCTGACCCCCAGTTAGTCAGTCCTCAGCCTGTATCCTTGTAAGACATTCCACTTTCCCAGCAGCCTGACTTTGCATTGGTCCTTGTTGAGTTTCATAAAGTTCATGTCGGCCCATTCCTCCAGCCTTAGTAGGTGACAGCCCTGCCTGCAAGCATATTGCCTGGTCCTCTCAGGTTTCTGTTACCTGCAGACTTGATAAGGACGCATTCTATCACCTCCTCCAGGTCACTGATAAAGATGTTTAACAGGACAACAGGATAGACCTCAGGACAGACCCCTGTGGTACTCCACTACACTAGGCAAAGTACAACCCATTAACCATTAACCTCTGAATATCTTTAATATTTTTATCAATGATCTGGATGAGAGGATCAAGTGCACCCTCTGTAACTTTGCAGACAACACCAAGTTGGACGGGAGTGTTGGGATCTGCTTGAGGGTAGAAAGGCTCTACAGAGGGATGTCAACAGGCTGGATCTATTGTATGAGATTCAACAAGGCCCAGTGCTGGGTCCTGCACCTGAGTCACAAAAACCCATGCAAGCTACAGGCCTGGGGGAGAGTGGCTGGAAAGCTGCCCAGCGGAAAAGGACCTGGGGGTGTTGGTCAACAGCCAGCAGTGTGCCCAGGTGGCCAAGAAGGCCAACAGCATCCTGGCTTGTGTCAGAAATAGTGTGGCCAGCAGGGCTAGGGAAGTGATCATCCCCCTGCACTCGGCACTGGTGAGGCCGCACCTCCAATAGTGTGTTCAGTTTTGGGCCCCTCACTACAGAAAAGATGTTGGGGTGCTGGAGGCTGAGGGGAGACCTTATGGGTCTCTACAGCTACCTGAAAGGAGGTTGTAATGAGGTGAGTGCTGGTCTCTTCTCCCAAGTTACAAGTGATAGGATGAGAGGAAATGGCCTGAAGTTGCATCAGGGGAGGTTTAGATTGGATATTAGGAAAAATTTCTTCACCAACGGGGTTATGAAGCATTGGAACAGGCTGCCAAGGGAAGTGGTTGAGTCACCGTCCCTGGGGGTATTTAAAAGACATGTAGATGTGGTGCCTAGAGACATGGTTTAGTGGTGGACTTGGCAGTGCTAAGTTAATGGATGGACTTAATGACCTTAAGCGCCCTTTCCAACCTAAATGATTCTATGATTCTAAGAATCTGATGGCATAACCAGTTTTTCATCCATCTAATTGCACACTCAGCGACCCTGTAATGATCTCTCTTCAATACACTACATAGGAATTGTTGGTAGAAGAACCTGTCCAGGCCTGGCACATATGCAACCTGCAACCGTCTGCCTCTATGTCCAAGGTTTTGCTGCAAGATGTTGTGGCTGTGCAGGAGTGCATGACCGTGCCCTGCACTGCAAGCAGAGACGTGAAGCCCAGGACAGGAGCCCAGCTGCATTTCCCTGAATCTGCTGCTAAACACAGGGCAAGTGGCTTCTGGAGTCATTGGGACTTGCCTTGGAGTCCAGTTCTTGGAGTTAGTAGGAGGCAGAGGAGGGAAAATAATGTTTTTCCAAGCAAGTTCCCCTGTGGGCCCTTTGCAGGCTATCCTTGCCTGTCCCCAGAGCCTCTTGAGTAGGAGATGGCCACCTGCCAGCTCCTCGCATCCTGACCCTCTTTTCCTGAGAACTCAGCAAGGCAGAGTTTCACAGACAAGAGGAAATCCCTAAAAAACATGCAGCCCAGAGAGTGGAAAGTTTTTTTGGTGGGGGTGGGTTTGGTTTGTTTTTTTTTTTTTTCCCCAACTTCCCCATGAATGTATTTTACAGCTCGCTGTCCCTGTCAGCACAGGATCCCAGCAGAAATCGGATCAGGGAGGGCTCTTCCTGCTGGGGGAGGCTTCCCAGGAGCGTGAAGGATTTACCAATTGCCACCTTCCACTCCCCATCCCTTGCCGTGTCCCACCAAAGGCCATGTGCAGTGGCAAGCTGCAGACAGGTTTGCTGGTGGCTGGCTACTTTGTCTACCTGATAGTGGGTGCAGCTGTGTTCCAGGCACTGGAGAGGACTGCTGAGAAGCAGGAGAAAATAGCAGCTGCCCAGATGAAGGAGGCTTTTCTGCAGAACTTCAGCCACCTCACAGTGGCAGAGATGGAGCAGTTTATGAAGGTAAGTGCCAGCCCTGCAGAAGCCCTTTCTCCCTCCTGTTTCCCCATCAGATGTTGTTTCCTACTCAGCCTTACTACACAGGTAACTTTCACTGCGTTCCTACTGATGTGATCATTTGGATGATTTTAGCAAGCCCACTCTCCGGTCTGAGCAGGCAAGTCACACTGATGGTAAATACAGCTTGTGTAGCTTGACAAAACCTTGTGTGTAAGCTATTAAAAGTCCCCATGCCACGATGTCCTGATTCTTTGGGGTCTTTCCTCCTGTTGATTTGGCTTTCGGTGGGGCTGTGCTCATCTGTAATGTGTGGCATGGCAGGAAAAATGAGGCTGTCTGAAATGAATGGGCATGGTTGCCACTTACAACAGTGTCACAGAGCACAAAGGAACAATATGGCAAAGTCTGAAATAATCTGTTGGGAAAAAAAAAAAACCAAACCACAGCCCAAATCACTACAAGGAGGGTGGCATAGTCAGGGTTTACTTTCTGAAGATGCTGCAGAAGTGAAACAGGTAGCCTGGCAAAGGGAAAGGTTTCTCATCATGGCATAGGAAGCTGAGAATGAGGACAGTTATCTCTTCACCTTTGGTATTTCCTAGCTCTATCTGGTACAGTACAGAAGAAAATGGGGAATGCAGATAGCCTTGCTGTAAGCATTTCCTCATGGGAAACTAATGGAGCTCTTAATGGGCCAGTTCGCAGGATAAGGAAAGGGGAAGAACTGCTATTTCTAGAGGAGACCTTATCGCTCTCTACAACTACCTGAAAGGAGGTTGTAGTGAGGGGGGTGTTGGTCTCTTCTCCCAAGTAGCTAGTGATAGGATGAGAGGAAATGGCCTCAAGCTGCGCCAGGGGAGATTTAGATTGGATAATAGGAAAAATTTCTTCACAGAAAGGGTAGTCAAGCATTGGAACAGACTGCCCAGAGAGGTGGTGGAGTCACCATCCATGGAAGTGTTCAAAAAACTGGTAGATGTGGCACTCTGGGACATGGTTTAGTGGGCATGGGGGTGTTGGGTTGATGATTGGACTGATGATCTTAGAGGTCCTTTCCAATCTTAATGATTTCTAGTTTTTAATTTCGTTATAAACAATCCAGCCACCAAGCCAGGAAACATGAAGTTGCTACTCTACCCTTAACTGGTTTAGTGGTGGACTTGGTAGTGTTAGGTTAATGGTTGAACTTGATAATCTTAAAGGTCTTTTCCAACCTAAACGATTCTATGATTCTATGATTCTAATAACAGAAGCAGTGATCCAGCCTCCAGTTCACATATGCATACACCCTCTTCACCTTGGAATTTTTTTTTTTTTTTTGTGGGTAAGGAGGAGAAAAAAAGAAGGATCTTTTCAAGACAATGAAATCTTTGTGCAAGGGCTGTGCAATGATTTCTGTTAGCCTTGACTTTCTGGGACATAAGCAAAAAAGATAGTGAGGGAGGAAGCAGTGGGGGGGAGAGACTTTCCTGGTGCAGTTTATTCCAGCTTGTGTCTTGCCTCTGGCAGGGCTCAGTCCTGGATTTTATCTAGGCTGCTTCTTCATAAACCAGCCTGCCTTTCAGATGTCCAGTCCAATGTTCTCTGTTTGCTAAAGGTAGGGACAGCTGGATACTGTTTGGGATTTTTTAATTTTATTTTTTTTAACTTTAAAAAAAAAAAAAAAACCAGCACTTAGAATTAAAACCAGGGAAGAAGGGAAGAGTCTGAAAATGCATAACATGATAGATGATAGGGCTGGAGAGGCTTGGAAGAAACATATAGTCAAACCCCCTGTTGTCAGAGCAATCTCAGCCCAAACCATCTTTGACAGACATTCATCTACCCTCATCTCACAGGCCACACTGTAAATATTGTGCATGTGTGTTCATGCTTGCAGTTTGGAGAAGAGTGTATATGTTAGGCTGAATTCTGCTAATGGTCACACCAAGAGTAATGCTTTGCAAATCAATGGACTTCCTCTGAACTTAAATTTGTGACACTAATCAGAATATAGCCTTAAAATGAAATTGTCTGTGTATGTCATGTGTACCCTGCTATAACCCACTGATGCCCTCCTGGGAGGGATCAGAGTCACTGCTCAGTGCGCCTGCATACAGGTGAATATATGATCCTGGATCCACCACTGCTGTCTCAAGGGCAAACTCAAAACCAGCAACCAGCCACCCCATCACTTAAGCCACTGGGCTGTATTGCTCTGCCATGGCCTAGTCACCTATAGGACCATTTTTTGCAAAGCACTTAGCCTAAAAGAATTGAGATCCTTGATCATGCTAAAAGAAACAAGTTCTCCTAACACTCACTAGAGCAGTCGTCATAAACAGGGTGAAAGATTAATACTGAAAAACACCAGCTGGGTGCTACCCAGCCTTAGAGGTAAAGGTGTGAATAGCATCAGAGTATCGCTGAGGACAGGTGAGTGGTATTCACAGGAAAGGAGCAGCAGTTGGCTAAATCTTTAGTATTCTTGCAGCAAGCATGTGAGAGAAGCAGCCATGTTAATACCTAACTTTGCTTTCCCTCCCAGAACCTGACTGAAGCCATTCAGAATGGTGTATACCCTGTTGGAAATAAATCACAGACTGAAGACAGCAACTGGGATTTCAGTAACTCCTTCTTCTTTGCAGGCACGGTTGTCTCCACAATAGGTAGGTCTAATGCTTTCCATGTATGTGTGTTTGTGTGTGTGTGTGATGCTTATTATGCCTGGTTATTAGGACCTGAATGGATAATACTTTCAAGGATAAAAACTCCAGCCCTTCATTGTCATGGATGGTAAGCAGCATTTCTTGGTCCTGAGACCTCATCACTGCACAGCTCTTCATGCATTATTTTGGCTTGTGAAATACCAATGGCCTTTCATATTATTTCCCACTCGTTCCTTCTTTTCAAGCCATCTGTTAAAATGTTCGCTCTGCTGCCAGTTGTGGGTGGGAGATAAACTTCACTTTCCTGGTCTTTATTCTAGGGTCAAATAGGCTTTAAATCCGAGAGTGCTGGAAAGCATAAAAGAATAGTAGGAAAGAAGTGAACTCTGCTGGGGCATGGACACTGTCTCAATAACCTGTGCTGAGCTGTTAGTGCACATATTGAATTAGTAATATGCCAGGAGGAAAAAAATGGGAAGGGGGCAAGGCAAATGATGAGACTTTTACACTGCTGCTTCAAGCTGTTCTGACCTTTTCAGGGGCTGCCTGCTCCTACCTGCCTCTCCCTTTGTCTCAAATATGCATCCCAAGAAGTACAGGCCTGTCAAATTTAAGCATAAAATCCACACTGTTGGCTCCTGCTTCACACTCTCATGCAGTGAAAGTCAAATCTATGTTTTGCCGAGTGAAGCTGAATCCTCACTCCCACTACACCCCCAGTACAGCTTCTCCACTGATCTGTGAGTGTGACCTTTCACAAGGGCCCCAGTGGTGTCCCAGCATCATGGCAGGTGCGTAGGTATTGCATGAACCCATGTGGAGACCTCCTGCTGTAGAAGAAAGAATGGCTTCTGACCCATCACATCAATGACAAATATTCCATGGTTACAACAACATTCACATATCGATAAAGCTTCCCCAGTTTGTCAGCACCCTGCTACTAGCCAATCCATTCCTTGCCACCACCTGTATTATTCTATTTTTTCATTACAGCATTTCTCTGCCAAACAAATCAATTGTTTCCCATCAAATTTATTTCCCTAGTGAGGCAGACAGGCTGTCCCAGGAAAAGTGCAAGTCGCCTGTTTCTCTGCACCTTCGCCACAGAGGTCTGTTGTGAAGGTACATCAGGTACTTCCAGTCATCTTCACCAGGTTTTTTCATGAAAATGTCATACTTCTGCAACAGGGATCACAAGACAGATCAAGCATTTGGGGGCCTAGTAGCCAATAAATCACTCAGTTGTTTTATTTGTCTTTCCCCCCAAAGAATACATTGTATTTTCCGAGTAATGGATGCCTTGAGATGAACTGTGCTTGGGAAAGTGCCTTTTCTCAGGGTCACTGGTAGAGTAAGGACATACACAAAGTACAGGACTCTTGCACTGAGGGATGTACCTCATGGGTTCTAAGAGGAACAAAGTCTCCAGTCCATTAAAGGACATGTTTGGAGTTCTGTAGCTGTTGTTCCACTACTTAAATAAATCCTCTTTTAGTAGGACTTTAAGAGAAATATCTCTCTGGCATGAATAAATCAGCCACCAGTAAGGCCTGGACTAATTAGCACCATCTATTTTAATGCACCCTGCACTGCCTCCAGGACTGGAGCCAGTATCTGGACATACCAACTTACTGGCATTTAGCCAGGGAGGTCACGTCCCCACAGGCAGATTGACAAGAAGCTAGAGATTGCTATATGTGACTCTGACATGGCAAACAGCCTGGGACTCCAGCTTTGATGTCTTCCAGGTCCCCAGACTTCTGTTTTCTGTCTTTCCATGTATTTGTCACAGGACAGAGCATGTTTTCCATAACTGCTTTTAGACTGTGCTTTCATTCCCACTAAGGTTGGGCTGGGAGCACACAGTGCCCTCTGCATCCCCCAAAACATACAGGGTGAATCACTTCATCTGCTTACTGCCTTTTTCAGTGAAAAAAAGAGTGCATATGGACTGAGAAGTGCTAGCCACATTTTTGGGGGTCAAAGGCAGGCCAGGCTGGGGTAGGTGTGAATGTGACCATGGACTGCTCCAGTTCTCTGGAATATATCCTCTGACCCATCTTTTTTCACAGGTTATGGCACGCTGCATCCTAAAACTGCTGGGGGCCAGATCTTCTGTGTCTTTTTTGCTCTGTTTGGAATCCCTCTGAATATTGTTTTTCTGCACCGTGTCGGTAAGATGCTCTCACTGCTGTGTAAAAAGCTGGGGAAATTCCTGTACGAGAAAGGAATGAGAAAGGTAATTGGTTTTACTACTCAGGCACAGTTATATGCTCATTTCTAGTTTTTTTCTCAAGATATATGCTGGTGTTATCCTCTATTATATTTGTTCTCATGTTGTGTTAGACGTTTTGTTAGGAGAGAGAAAGAGACATTCTTCACTTGCAGAGCTAAACAAACAAGGTAACCATAGAGGAGATATTCAGAGAGAGGGATGCATTTTTGTCTACCCATCTTAATGGCAGACATCCAGCCCCCTTCAGCAATCAATGGAGAGAGTGGGTGCCTCATCCCACTTCCCTAGACACTTATCTCAGGAGCTAACACTCTAGGGAAGTACCTGTCTCCCTTTATAACCAGTAAAGAGAGAGATGATTAAGCATCTCGAGGCAGCAAAAAGCAGGTGAGCTATAAAAAGCTGTAAAAAGGAGGTGAGCTGTAAGGGTTTCAGTGGGTATCGACTCAATGCCTAGTGTGTCACCCCTCCTTATTCATTATGCAGTCCTTTAATCCCTCTCCTCCCTTGACTTTGACAGAAAGGAAACATCAGGCTGCAGTTGTCCATTTGAGCCCACTTGCTGAAAGGTGAGGCGGCACCTGTAAAGGGCTGGAGACAGGATGTGTCTTGCCTGGTTATGCCCCAAGCTGTTTGCAGCTCCTCCCCTTCTCTCACCACTACTGAGGAAGTGAGAATAGCTTTTCTGTGTCTCCTACCATAATTCTTTTTCAGGACAAGGTATGAATGCTACAGACAACCCTGTTCAAATTGCTGAATTTCTCCCCATGTCCAGCAAACTTCAACAGAACATAAGTCTTGATCAGATATAGACTCAAGTGCATGCACAATGCACAAAGACATGAAAAATTATCCAACATTTGCCATTAATTTCCAGACAATCTGGACTTATAAAATTCTATACATAAACTATATGTGTGTCTGGCTGATAAATCTTAATACATAACAAGTCTTTTTCTCCAGTCAAGGCTTCTTCATGATGGCTGGGAAGTAGGATGGTTCAAAAGTCATTGCCCAGGCACTTCTTCGTCAGGAGCTCATTTGTTTAAGGTCATCTTGTAGTAAGGTATCCACTGGGTAGGAGCCAACTTGTGGCATGGATGCAATCAGAAATAAAGCCAATAACCAAGACTCTTGGAGACAGTACTCTCAGAAATGGTGTAAATATTTTTTTAAAAAGTCTATTTTCCCAGGCAGACCTGAACATTCTTTAGGTGCCACACCTGAATACCCAAAACCTAAAGGTGAAGTTTTCTGGTGAAAAGTGGAAATAGTCTGACTCCTGTAAAAGTCATTAGATAGTAGTTCCTCCTATACTCACTGTCACTGGAGGTTGACGCAATCAGATAAAAGACTGTATCTCCCAGGGCTACTGTGGACATGCCACACCCATAATACATGGCTTCCCCCTGCTTCAGAGCAAAGCTAGGGTACTTTCAGAGGAAGAGCACTCAGTACAAATCCTTCAGTTCCTGTGGTCCTAGTAGGTATTCCCAGATAGCCACACATTTTGAACAGCCACCATTATAAATGGCCTGCCAGTGTGTCAAATCATTATTATAATTGAATTGGTTTCTTTTTTTTTCCAGAAGAAGATCAAATTTCTGACCCTTTTGTTCTTCCTGGCAACGGGGATCCTATTTTTTCTGTGCTTGCCATCACTCTTCTTCCATATAACAGAGGGCTGGTCCTACAGTGAAGGAATTTACTTTGCATTTATCACCCTCAGCACCATTGGCTTTGGAGATTATGTAGTAGGTAAGATGGATTTCAGAGAGGAGACACAGCAAAGTGCCAGGATTATGACTGTAATTACCATGGGTTGACTGCACAGGCCACCAATGTACTGTAGAGACAAATCTGTCTGAGTCTTTGACTAGTCTTTGTCTTGTACAGTTCCGGGGGAAATACTCATTTCTCTGGGATTGCACATGCTGACAAAAGCACAAAATTGTCTAAATATAATGAAATGTAGTGCTTTGGGGTGCAAAGAAGCCAAGTATTTGGGGGAGGGAAGGGGAAGTGTAGGGGGAGAATTCAAGGAGCCTAGGAATTTGCATATACCAAGAGGGAACAGTTTTCCACAGTCACACAAAAACGGCACATATCCCTGCTTTAGCCATCTAAGACTTATGCTTCGAAGTGTAGAGTAAAGAAATAAATGGTCATGTTTCAGAAGACATGATTTTACACAACAGACTGAGAGGTGAAAATCCTAGTCATGGGAAAGTGGGGAAATCTGCTCAGTCTATGAGAAGTGGGGCTTAAGCAAATATACCACTGCAAAAGTGGCCTTCTTTAGTCTCCTATGCATCACTGGAGACTGTCTTCACAAGCAAGAGCTTAGGATTTCCCTTGAAGACAAACTGTTTAAGCTACACTCCAGCATGCTGGAGTGCTTCTCAGAACACTTCCGTGCATCTGCTGACCAAAATACACTCTCCATGAAATAAGCTACAAGAGGAACTCCAAAATGATCACCAGGAGCCAAATCAGTGTCCACAGAAGAAGCAATCAAACACTTGGACTCCATGAAGAATCAAAGATTTCTCTACAACAACCTGTCCTGTCAGTGTCTTGCCAGCCTGAACTTCTCTTCAAGTGCGGATATAAGGAAGCTCTGAAGCTAATACTTGAGCAACAGTGCTGCCCCTCTGGAGAATCTGGAAGCCTGACATCCCTTTCTGATGGATGGATATCCACCACACAACAAACCCTAGGCTCTCAAGCCTTGCAGACATGCAAGAGGGGCCTTGGAGACTGGCTGGCAGCCTTGCTGTGTGTTTGAAAGATTTCTTACATCAGGCTGAGGACTTTGGCAGAGGGAGCCCACATGCTTTTCCAGACACTGTCTGATGTTCCCTGCTGACCTTAATGTCTCTGAGTCTGCTGGGTAGTGCTTTGACAATCTAGTTGCCATCTTGCTTGTTTGCATTAGTTTAGTGATTGCAATGATCTTGTAGCCTAGCTGATGGTTAATTCATGCAATGGCAATGAGTTGATTAGGCCACATTTCACCAAGTGATCCCAGCCAGCTAGCTGCTCCCTCTTGCTACGAAGCACAGGAAACCAGTGTCCCCTGAAATTCCACTTTCCATGTAATCCAGAGAAAGATTCTTTGTCTCCAACAGTGGTTAAGCAGTGTTGCCATGAACACAACAAAGATCTCAGGCATCAGCAAGGGATCTGTATGACACAACAGTGGCCTCTTTGCTCACTGTTTTCTCCAGCTGAGGCCAATCTTTGTCACTGCAGTGGAGGACAACAGGGCACAGGCATTTCTTTCCTAACCATCTGTAGGGCTGATAACCCTGGCCTGTGTGATACTGAGCACCTCGAACTTCAGTGATGTGGAATATAGCAAGGTGGAGAGTGGCTGGTGCCATGCAGGAGAAAAAGTGGACATCAAACTGGTGCATTCTCTTCCTTTGTCCAAATTACTAGTGTGTTTTACAATAACTACAGCAAGTCACAGCCTGAAAACCACTACCTCCATAGCACTTTTCTCCTCTGCAGCCATATTATTTTATAAATACAGTTAAAAAATAACAATTAGATAGTATTCCTGGTTCTGTAATTTCATCTTCATTAGGATGACTTAACTGGAGCTGAAATATTTTTCCCTGCAGTATTTATCTCAATGGGCCTTAAACAATGGTGATAAAATGATAAGTTTAATGCCTTACACCTTCACAATGAAACAAGCAGAATCAATGACTGCTCTGAGTATTGTGCATTTAGAATTGATTACAGATGACAAATGGATTTGTGCTGGCCAAGTGCAACAGAACAGTTTGAGTTTATTTGCATTTTAGTAATTCAAAACTGTTCTGTAGCTGTTGTACTTCAAGCATGAGATAAAGCCTGTTTTGGATAAGGAGACATCCTAGGAAGATGGCAGAGTCTGGATTTAACTGTTTGTAATACATATACACACAGGTGATACTTCTAGGGTGAAACTCCCCTTGGGCTGTAAACAGAATTTATGCCCTGCAGAAGTCCAGTTTTGAGTTAACATGACAAAGATATTACTAGTTGCTTTGCTAACCCCACATCATGAACTTCAGATAAGAGCACAGAAGGAGACGCTTTGTAGCAAGGCTGGCATCCCCTCTGCTAACTCAGCCCCAGCAGAAGAAAAAGAAACAGCGGTTAGATATCTATCCATGAGGACAAACCAACCCACTCCTACCCCATTTCCAGAGCTCTTCCATGATAATGTACAAAAATCCTGCACATTGATCTATGCAGTACAGGGCACTGCAGGACTTGAAAAGAGGTGCCAGCATTCTGGCTCATTCTGGGCAGCTTCACAATGGGAAATGATCCACCAGGTTTGTGGTGATATCCCTGTCCATGCACATTGCTGTGTTATCTACTATGTGGAGTCTCCCTTGACAGTGACTTATAGCACTTAATAAGCAATATTACCAAGTTTTCCTGCAGATGCCAGGGCCATATCAGCAGTATCATGATGATAACGTTGTGCGGGACTAAGTGCAGTACAAGCAAATGCTCTCTATATGTTGGTAGTGGATTGCTGACATCTGAAGAAACAAACAAAATGACCCATGCAGAAAAGCGGGTGTGCGATACTGACTGATGCTAAGAGGTTTGGACTGCATGAAATAAGCTTCAGTCCACTGGTTTCCAGCACAGAAAGTTGTGTTCTTAGCATGTGCCAGCGAGTTCTCATCAGTCACCTAGTTTTTTAATGGAGGAAGCTCCTGAAGATGTTCAAAAGTAAAGTAGGAATTGCAACTACTCTTTGTATGATCAAGGGTACCTATAATTTAAAGCAAATATTTATTAGGCTATAATCACACTTTATAGAAATGCACAGAATTGCAATAACCTAGGTAGTAATAATTGTGTGGTTATAGTGGCCCACTATGCTCTGCTTTTTGTGCTTTGGGAGTTTAGGAATATTTTCAAGATAATACAATACAATTTTATGCTACTTCCGACATCATTGCATTTACTTGTAGATGCAGAGGTTGAATTGGGTTTGGTATGCTATAAGGGGAAAAAAAATATCCTGCTCTGCTCCTAATTCACCTCAAGCCCAGTATATCTTTTTGACAGGCCAGCATGTTTGTGCTAGCATATGTCAGTTCATTGCAACAAGAGACTAGCCCAGCCTTAAACTAATGCTGGGGAGGTGAGACCCACTACAATGAAAAAGTCACCTTAAAGTACTCAACATAAAATACATTGATGAATCCATTAGGCTCACCCACTTTACACAGGCAAAGTAGTTTTAACTTGTTAATTTTCTTCTTCTTTCTCTCCCCTTATCTGCAGGTAAACAGCCTGGCAGGAATTACTTTTCCTACTACCGAACTCTGGTGGCCATTTGGATTCTTTTCGGCCTTGCCTGGATTGCTCTCCTATTTAATTTATTGACAACAGTACTAGAAGATACTGAAAAAATAATTGTCAAGGATCTCCATCAAATTGGAAAGGTGAGTAAGGACAATGAAGCAAGCCAACAAAGAAGATGCTGGCCTGCTGAATTTATTCTAGAAGAAGAACTACTACCACCACGTGCTGGAGGGGATGCACAGAAAATGGAGTCATTAGCAGCAGATTCTGAACACACAAAAAAATGAAAAAAATTTTTTGTCTTAGAGCAAAACTATTGCCGTAACATATGAAAATTGAATTCTTCATTGGAGAGTTGCTAGTGAATTATTCTAAAGAAATTCCCATGGAAATAAAATTTCTCCTGCCTTTTGCTGAGATATGTCTTTTCAGAACTCAAGACTTATGGTTACACAAAGCCTGAATATTAATGGTAAGAAGTTTGCTCCTCAATTTGCAGCTAGGTTGTGCTAACAACCTGAGAAGTGCACTTTACAAGGCGTTTTTAATGTCCTTCCACAAAAATGCAGAGGAGGGGCATGGTAGAGCTCGCTGATTCTATTTGGATTTTGCTACTTGCAAGAAATCATGTCTCTTCCAGGAACTGACATGCACAAGCTTTTCTGAGGCATTGCATAGCACCTTTGGAAGAAGAAATAAGGGTATATAACTTAATAGATGCCTGATTTGAGCCGTCATATTGAATAAGCTATTATGATCTGAAAGACTTGTTTAAAGGACAAGACCTGGGCTCAGTTCAGAGACATTAGAAGCATCTAATGGACAGGGTTAGAAAAAGGTTAGTGTGTTCGAAATTACTAATTCTACCTCTTCCTCTTTTATACTAAGATGAATAAAGACAATTTTACCTTTTATCCCTGTGACTTCGAAAAACCTTTCTGATGGTGTTTATAAAGACCATATGAAGCCATGCCTTTAATTCAATTTTTATAATGATTTTATTCTATGAACATTTTATAAGAATGGAAACTGGTTTGAATGGAGGAGTCCTCACAGCATCGGAGCTGTGCTGCCATGTTTGTATTCCATAGGAGCTATAAAGTAATTTAGAAAAGATTCTGTTGTTCTGTGCTAAGGTAGCTTTCCAAGTACAAGTGTTGTCTAAACAGTGCAGCCTTACCTTCAACCAGTTAAAAGGATGTCAAATCTGGGCACGGTGTTTCAGAGGTACCACCTGGCATGCAGGCCATCCCTGGGTGAAGACCCTGGCCTTTAAAGGCTTGATCTACACGTCAGGTGCCCTGTGTGTGTCAAGAGTGCATGAAAATCCTACCCTGGCAAAGCAGCTGTGGTAGACACAGTCATGGGGATGGAAAGTCCCATGGGTGTATATGGTTACATGAAAAGTCAGTCTAGTCCAATATCCTATCTCTGACCATGCCTACTAGCATCTGCCTCCAAATAGCGTAGGAATGAGGCAGCTCTGCCATGCTCCTGCGCAGGGGTGCAATCCCTCTTCCAGTATTTGGTGGTTCAAAGGCTGCCCAAACAAGAGGTGGGGTCTCTGCACTTCAAAGTCCATGAACTTGCCCAAATGCTGAACTCACATCAGCGCCCACAGGACCCACCTAAAGCAGTCTGTAGTTCAGTACACAAAGTGCCTCCCTTTGACGGTGCTGAATGTGTCGCTTGACAGGTTTTCGTGATAACCTCAAGTTCCTATTTTGTCAGAGTGAATAATTGTTCTCAGCTCACCCTACGGGTGTTAGTTACAGCAAGACCAGCCCTTGCCAGAGCTATTCCTGTATGAAAGGGGGAATAAATTACAGCTATAAAGCAATTTTAGGTCATAAAGATGCAATCAGCCTTGAAGTTGAATTCATAACTATTTCAGTCAAACAAAACCACACTTCTTGCCAAAACAGCTCTGCTGGTTCAAGAACTGGCATGTAGACCTGACCAAATATGTACTTTCTTTCCCGCCCCAAATTATTTTCCATTGTTGCCCTCAAGGCTGACTTCTCACCTAATATGTCTCACTCTCAGGAAACCTTTCTGAGGCAGCAGGAAAAAGAACTGACCAAAATCAGGGCAAGATGGCAGGGGTATCATAGGACAGTTGTCCTGGGGCAAGCCATGACCCTGTTGCTATCACAAGGTGACACCATAGCCAGGCAGAGAAAGCAGCTGGATGCTCCCAGGCAGTGATGTCTTCACCTCTCTGTGTTCCCCTCTTACCAAGCATTGACTCACTTTATTATTTTTCAGGCATCATTTTTTCTCTTCTGTCTTTTCCCAGCCCTTCCTACAAGGACCATTAACCCCATCCCCAACCTAATAGAGGTACTGTCAGGGCTGGTTTAGGGAGAGGTGGCCCTGCATTGGGGTGAAATGGCCATTTTGCACAGCCTCTCATAGTTCCTTCCAGGTAAGTTCCTGGTGTTTGATGCCCCCCCAGCATCAAATGTTGTCCTCCCAAGGTGGCAGGCAGGGCCTCTGAGCCAGCACAACACATGTCTATTTGCTGTCTCTATTGCTGGGGAGAAAGAGCCTCCAAGGAGCATCTTGAAGTCAACACACCTGTGAAGGGTTTTCTTCAACTTGTTCCCACTGTCACACTTGCTCCCTATCATGACAAATAACACAGTCCAGCCCTGAAACAAGCTGGTGATGTCCCATTGCAACACAGTGCAAACGAGGATGCTTGTTTAGACATCTCAGGAAGGGCAAGAGAGATGGTCCATGAACTTTGACTGTAAACAGCAAGCACAGAGCCAGGCAGCGGCTCTTTGAGCAGAATAGGACAAATTCTCTGTCCTTCACACTGGTGGGTGTTTAACAACGAGCCATGAAAACCAAACACTTCCTGTTTCCAAAAGTCAGTCTGCCCTGTGCAGCTAATGCCATAGGGTGCAGGCAATTCACCTTTTAATTCATCCCCTCTCACCATGCTGCCCGGGTAAGTCTGTGCCCCTCCAGACAAGGCACAGAGGGACTGAACAACTCACCCAGGGCCAGGGGATGCGGGAGACATGAGCCAAAACGGTCGTCATGGGGCCGTCCTCCTTCAGGCACCAAGAATTGAGGTGTTCCTTCAGCTGTAGATGCCAGTCTGGGAACAGAGAAAACACATCCACAAGTATAAAAAACTTAAAAGCTATCAGGAGAATTTCAGATAACTGCCCTGAGAAAGAAGGCAAGCCATTCATAAATCTTCATGCCTGCAGGAAGGCCTTTTGAAGAAGGGTCTCAGCTTTGCTTTTCATGCCCTCTTGTGGCTGCGTGCAGCAGACCCCTTCCCTTCACATTTCTGCCAAGTTCAGGCAGTTTTACTGTACTTCCTACTGTGCAATTCAGCTGATGTAGGTGGTACAGCCCTGGCCAGTGCAAGTCCCAGGACAGCAGCTTTGTCAGTGTGAACCAGAGGATTCAGAAGGCCATCCTTGTATTTTTACGCAGTTCTTACAAGCTTGCTAAGGTCTAAAACTTGCCTTATTCTCAAGAAAAAGATGGAGATGGGCACCCCAAGCTGGTCCAGCCAGTGATCCTGTCTTGTACCCATGCCCAAACAGCTTTGTGAAGGTCAGCTGGGGATGCAACAGCTTTCTATCAGTAAACCATGGTGCAAAGGATGCTCACTGGCAGCACGCACTGTAGTGACGATGGGGTATGCTCCCACCGTGTGCCCCATGCACTAGCTTCACCTGCATAATGTCTGCTGCAGGACCGAGGCCCACATTCAAACCCTCTGTCCCACAGGGAAAGGGATTGGTCCAGAAAAAGTCTGCAAAATGTCAGGTTTGGATGCAGGCTTTGGGTGCAGCTGTGGCAGCCTCGAGGGCAGGCAGTGCCTCATGCAGCAGAAGTGGTGGAGATAGAAGCTGCAGATACATGGAAGAAAGAACCAGTACCAAAGGGTGTGTGGTCCTCTCTGCTGGGAAAGACAAGGGAAAAGCCCAGGAAAGCTGCAAGCCAGGGTGGGAGAGGAATGTTTTGGATGCGATATTGTTCCTCATGCTTATGCTGAACAATAAAGCTGTCTCCAGAAGTGCTTCGGCACAGCAACAAATCTCTCCAGGGCTGGAGCAAGCAACCTCTTACAGCATTATCATCTTCTGAGCGCCACACAACCACAGCAGATCTTGTCCTTGCATCACCCCTGAACGGGGGAGCTGTTGTTTCTGTGCAGGTAGCAAGCGCCCTGGAGAAAATTAAGTGTATTGCCTGAGCTCATGCATGAGACCTTTGGCAAACACCTGGTCTGGTGCTCTCTCAACCAGGACCAGGTGTCCTGGTATTGCTTACTAATAAATTCAAACCAGCTAGTGGTTCTCTGATTGCTGAGGTTAAGAAAAATAATATTGAATTGAGAGAAAAGTTAGAACAGAGCTTCTCTTCCACAGCTAGAGATTTAAAATGGTCCCAGGACTTTTAATTCATGAGTGTAAGCCAGGCTCTGGCTCTTCTTCTGCACGTTCCCCTTGCCCAATGGACAGAAAACAGGAATAAAATCCATTCCGAAATCCCTGTTCTGCCAAGCAGCGAGGCGGCAGCAATCCTCTGGAGACCAGGCGGAGGGGTTCTCCATCAGCAGATCTGCACGGCCTGGAGCCTTTCCTGGGAGCTGTTCAAAAGCCCTCGCTGTGACCCAGCCCCACTGTGCTGCTCAGGGAAATCTAGTTTTCATGGAGCAGCCTCTTGTGCAACTGCCAGCTCTCCCACTGCAGCTTGTTTTCAAATGGGAAACATTTATAAGGCAAGCCAAATACTTTCCCATACATTAAACCAGTTGCTGAAAAACTCCAGGAGTATGATCATGAAATACATTATATTGGATTAAATGGCAGCAGCATGTTCCTGCATTCAGTCTGGCCTGCTCCTCATACATCACCCACATCTTTGCTGCCAGCTAGCAAACAGTGTGCATTTCTGCACTTGAAACCAAGGAAATGCCATGAGGAATTATCTTTCCCTCAGAAAGAAGCCCCTCAGAAATTCAATTACCTCCAGAGAGAATAGGAGAAACTGAACTTTGATCTGTCTTTAATTAGTATATGGAATTGTTTAGGGATCTTTTGAGGTCTCCTTCAATTAATAGCCAGTTCATTTGGAGAGATTAGGTTTTTTCTGGAAGCAGAGAGACTGCTCAAAGCAGTGGAACAGCTTGGCTAATGTAACAGCATATAGCCAGTGGGATAATTTTTTTACAGAAATTACTAAACGTGGGCCACACACATGCTATTTTCCACTCTGTCACACTTGGACATGTGCTTTCTTGCCTGACTCA